GAATTGACCCTCTGTAATGCATAAAATCGCTATTATGTGATATTTTCAATACGAGCGTCGCATAACCTGTCGCTAGCGAATTGCCTAACAATCGGTGATGCATGGAATCAGTCACCAGCAAAACTGCAGCAGAACTACAGGGGATGCTTTGTCTTTCGTTTGCAAATGTGTACATATGTATTTACATCAGAGCTGGGTAATTTTTGCTCGCGAGCAACGCCAGCGTCGCAGTTCGCATACGTACAAAGAAGCAAAGCAGCGAATTTCGATTCAGTCTGCTTGCAGATTTCACCAAGGTAACGTCATGATCGGCTGTGGATTGTGTTTCTTCATAATTTTAGCACGCGCTTGCCACGGTTTGAGTAGAAAATTTACAAAAAATCCCCAAAGCAAAAAGTGGTGTGCTTTTCTTAGATTCGTGTTTGCATGCATTTGCGATGATTCAAACACAAAATAGTGCGACCCTATATAAGAACTAGAGTTTATTGTTCAAAGAACTTTCAACAAGCCGCAATATCCGTTATGTGGTTATGCCTACGTATTTTTAATACAAGCAAACTGTATTTTGCATGCCGTGACAATTAAAAAAAAATATAAAATGAGCTGCTTCCTGACCAATGGTCAATAACTTTGTAATAAGTTCCAAGATTTTTATAAAGAAGTGCGCAAATAGCATGCCATATTTTAGAATAATTTGTTTCTATCTAAAGAAATCCATATAGAAATTTAAATGCTGGTTTATACGAAAAAATACTTAATGAATAATATTTATAAGTTATATTCTATTTTTAGCACTAAACTCCTATTTATATGAAAATAATAAAATCTAAACAACGAAATCGTCTGGCCGGCCAGCATTTCAAAGATTAGATTCCAATAAAATTCTTTGCAGGTATTTAACAAATGAGTTTAAGCTATTTAAATTTTTTACAAGTATTACATTTTTCGTATGGAACAGTTTCTAGAATCTAATAGTATTAGTTACTAAAAACTTCTACGATTCATTATTTCACTATACGTATAAGCAAAATAGGGCAAAAGATACATGCACGAAAAATACCAGGTTTAGTACATTTATAAAAACGCGGCAACCATAACTGTGCGCGACGCACTATTACCACGACAAAATGAGACTGTGTGCAAAAATTGACCAACACTAAACATTAACAACAGGAAGAATGGGAGAATAAAATAAACCGTAAATAGAAAATTTTCACAATATTAAATTTTTCGACAGGAAACATGGTTTTATTGTGCTAAATTGCAAAATATATGATTTATAAAAAAGAATTAATAGAGAAAATGATAAAAAACGGCGATTTTTGTGAAAGTAGCAAATTTCAGTGTATCGAAAGTTTCTAAAGCGTTGTTTACTTTTACTTGAGAATTGTCAAAATCGGCAAATCCCAAGTAGCGGTTTCTAGAACGTGCTACATTCGTTCGCTACGTCGTGATGCGATAAAAAGAAAAGCTGGCAGCACTCCGCAAGGTTGCAGAAATCTTTCAAAATATGTTCGAAAAATATCTTGATATGGAAAGAACTGCTTTACACAGTCAAGGAAAAAAATTGCCAAAACTCAACGCAATTTTTAGCAACTTCAATCTTGCACTTTATTATACTAAAATTAATCTTTTTTAGATTAGTTTTTTTTGTTATTTTTTGGCCTTATAACAATTGTATTCAACAATTTTTATTGAGCTCGCGGCCGGTTTTT